CAGTATTTGTAAAGAGATTACCACTCACCATTTTCCATTCTTGGGGTTGGCTGTCTCCGGGTGAATAGGCATCAACTTTGCACACTCCGTTTTGGCTTTGTAACCAGTCAACCCTCTCCGACATCTGGAAGTAGAAAAAAATATATAAAAAGGTCATCAAAAGGACAAGTCGTATATAAGAAGAAATGAGGCAAAAGAAACAATACTTTCAACAGAGACCTTCAGACCCACAAAACTCTAGATATCATCATCCTCAGTTCTCAACAGCGAGAGGATTTCTTACATACCTCTCCAGTGTCAAAGCCAGGACCTGGCATAGGCTAGAGGTGCTTTATGTCAGTTAGCTCAGAAATGAACCTAAGCAGTCCTAAATAACCTGCTCCTGCTCTTTGCAAATTTGCTTAGCAGAACTTCCAGAGTTTGGATTTTCTGTAGATACCCGAATGTCACCCTACTTAAAAGAAAATTCATTTAGTTCTCCCTTGCCTGTTCTTGTCCCACCAACTTTTTTTTTCCCAACTTGCTTTTTAATACATGGTCTTTAATGAATTTTTAGAACACTCATTTAATTATATCAGCAGTACTTCTAGTAGCTCTTCTTAAGATCCACACCTACGCCAATTAGCCAAGGATGCTGGGGGAATTCTCAGGCTCCAGGTTTAGTCAGACTTCAGAATACCAGATGAGAGGTGACATGTGCACCACCCAGGGGACCTTTGTCCATGGATGTCGAGATGCCTGTGCCAATGCTGACACTTCCATAACCCTCCAGCACTTTGCTCTAGTCCCTAATCTCTGCAATGGCACCACTCTCTCTCCTCGGGGTGCCAAGGGAGGAAGCTGATAGTTGTTTTAATTGTCGTCTTCTGCTCTAAACTTCCCTTGGGCTGCGACTTCCCTCCTCTTTCATTTGTAGCTGTTTATTCTTGAAAGCATTGCTTATGTTTGCTTTCTTCATTGCCTCAACTCAAACTGTGTCATAGTCTTCCTTCCACTTCTTTACAAATGGATTTATTATTGCTGTTATTAAAAATAAATTATAAGACCATTCAGTAGCTACTTATTCTTTGTCCCCTGTAGGGCTTGTACCTGTTTTGTGTTCCACTCCTCTGGTCTTTGGTCTTAGGCTCGTCTACTTACCACAGCCCTGTACCCCTTTTTCACAGCCTGACTAATCATCATGACATCCACCCATGAATCATCTACAAGTGTGTAAACCTTCTCTTTGCCTTCTTTTTCCAAGCCAGGCTTGCATGATCAGACATCCATACTGAAGTTTCCCTCCTTTCATTATTAACTTTGCCTAAATGAATATTTCTCAAAACCAAGGTGGAGTATTATGGGCAGATTTTCCTCCCCCATATTCCTAAAATTCTTGTAAAACAGACATATATTCATATTTTTGATGCCAACAAAATATTAATTGAAAACTCATAGTAAGTTTCTAAAGTTTAGCCTTACTTTTTCTAGCAAAATTGTATTTATAATAATTATTTGAATTAAGTGGCACAACATTGGGGGGGTGAATGTGTGATTAATTGGAAAAACTTCTTTTAAAAAAACTTTGAGCTTGGCTTGGCAGGCATCCTCCCTCACAATAAAACCAACACAAATCAGACGCAGCTTACACATATGAAATAAACTTCTTTATTATTGTTGTTATTAAAAATAAATAATAAGACCATTCAGTAGCTACTTATTTTGTCCCCTGTAGGGCTTGTACCTGTTTTGTATTCCACTCAGATGACTGAGCAAGGGAAACAGTTTGTTTCACTTTTCCCAACACTGTAATATAATAGATACTTGGGTGAGCAATGAGTTCTCCATAATGATTAGACTATAGCGTCACCCAGAAAACTGTTTAAGAATACTGATTTTGGGATATAACCCTCCCCAACCTGAAATCTTACTTCAATGGCTTTGAGGTGAGGAAACTTAGGCACTGAATTTATTTCTCCTCCCTCCCTCTTCCTCTCCTTTCCTCCCTTCCTTCATTTTATTATTATTTTTTATTTTTTTTAAAGATTTATTTATTTGTGCATACAGAACTGGGGTACAGGCCAGAGGCTTAGGGGTGGTGAGAGGCTTCACCAGAGACAGAGTGGGGAACAGAACAGGCAGATCCAGATCCATGAAGTACACTGCTGAGGGGAGCAGCGAGTGGGTCAGGAGAGGTCTGCTGCGCCATGTGGTCACCTCCAGGGCAGGTGGAAATCGAACTCATGCGGAAGTGGTTTTAGATTCTCAGTGCTGTACTTTAACCCACTGCACCACCAGGGAATTTCTTAAATCCTCCCTGGGTGTACAATTGCAATTCTAGAGTTGAGAAACCCTGGCCCTGGGCTTATCTAGAGAGACCCTTTGAAAAAGACTGGCCACCTCCAGAAAGATAATTATTCTTTTCTTTAAAAACATTCTCTGAGATTTCCCAACCTTCTTAATATTTTTTAATCCTAACAAAGAGGTTCATATATCTGACACTAAACCCTATATTATCTCTGAGGCGCTGTTATAGATAAACATTCTTATCATTGAATCATTATCACGAAGAACTAAATGAGTGACATTACTATTTGATTAAAGAATTCCAGAGAAGATTTGGAACCAGTTTGTCCTGAACTGTGGACAGTGCAAGTTAGTGTTTAACAAATTAAGCCAATAGCATCTACTAACTTATTTTTTAAAACTACATAGCCCAATTAAAAATCAAATTAAGTATACAAAGGAAGTTATGTGATCACTTACTTTTGCTGAAAGGTGCTGGTATGAGAAAAGCTCCTGAAAAATTTGTTTCTGTCTTTTCTATTCCCAAGTTTATCCACCCCTCTTGCCATGTACTATAAGGAATCTGCAATGGAACGGCACAAATGTCACTAATTTTATACATGAATCTTACTAATTACAAATAATGATTTTAACTTAAAGATTTTTCACATATAGTACACAAGTAGTGAACATCAAAAGACATTCAAAGTTAAATATTTTAAGATTAAAAAAATTAAACACGTTTTTCTTGGTGAATTAAGAAAATGGTTCTTAGATGACAAAAAGACTTCAACTTCTGATCAAAATTTCTGAAGTGACTTGTATTTCTATTTTCAAATTACAGACATATAGGCTTATTTAAAATTAAGAAACTCAATGTTTTTAGCCTAATCTCAAACTTGGAGAAGAAATCAGCTAGAATGGACAAAAATATGTCCCAAATTCCTGGGTCTCAAAGCACCCTAGAAGCTTGAGAGAAATATGCATTATCATGTTTTAAAGGGAATTAACAATATCTACTACCTCCTTTACTCCCTCTAATGAGAGTTTACATAGAAGACACTAGGGAATCATACTTTAATCTTGGCATATCTACCCAAGCCCCTAATAGTGTTCAAGTCCCACCCTTACCTTGTAACTCAAGTCAAAGCTTACAGCCCCATCCATGAAATATTTTCTAAAACTTAATTGAATCTGTTCTGTCATCCAAAATGTTGTCATTATTTTTAACTTTCATATCCCATTTGTATTTTAATGGATTTCCTTCATTAGCAGGACTTTATAAAGGGCAGACACATCCACTTACCTTGGTATTCCTCATAGTAGCTAGTATCTTAAAGCTGGTGCTTAATTATTGTCTACTGAAAGTATGCATATATATATGGAACCTTCCTACTTCTAATTCCAGATAGTTTAACTTTTCTTTTTTAAATGGAAAAATCTGAGAATGGAAAACAAATGACTTACTGAAATTCACAGTTAGTCATATATTTAGGCTTTCTTGAAGTTTGACTCCTTTTGGGGATAAGTTCACCCCAGAAATTTATCCAAGGTATAAGTACTTACCCAATGTTTTATTAATGTAATAATAAAAAAAATATCAACCTTTCAACAGTGTTCTTGTACTTCTTTTACAAGCTCATACCTATTAAGTATCTTAATAAGATGCTACACTTATTAGTTATCCAGTAAACAATTCCACTAAAACATGTCCTAACATTTTAATTCTATTTTCTTTATCTTCTGCATATTTTTCTGCACCAAGATTACACTTTCTACTCCCTAAATTGTCCTGGATAACATCACAAAAAGATATTAAGTATCTTTTTGATGATAATGATATTCAGACTTCCAAATCTCTAAACAGACTTCCCACAGTGAAAAGGAATAGTGGGAAGGAAAATCTAGCAAGTTTAATGGGATAGGTGAATGGATTAATCCATTTCTTAAATTCAAAATCGGTGAATAATATTTTGTTATTAGCATCTTTGCTGTGAATTATCAAAGTTGATTTGATAAAAAGCTAATTTATAGTATATATACATATAAATACTATACAAAGCTAACTATACAAAGCTACTACATACACTGTAAAGACAAACAGACCTTCAAAAACCATTTATTCTAATATAGTCAATTTATAGATTAAGAAACAAAGGCCCAGAAAGGGAATATTAAAACAGGTGGCCATAACCTCGTAAATATTACAACTCTGTTGGCTGACATGCCGGAAGGTGTTTTTTTCTAAGATCAATAGAGGGGTCCTCTGGCCAACAGGCCAAAATATTTCTTTAAAATGCCAATGTGATTACTACCTCAATAATAATTGAGGCGTGCCAGAGAGGGGGCAAAAACATAGGGGTTTGGCTCTGGATACTCAATCTTAGCCCACAGATCCTGTATCCATTGTAAGCAAGCAAGAGGCTCCTGCTTGCTCAAGGCTCCTAAGCTTAGAAAAAGCTTGCATTATGATCAGCATAAATGAAGCTTTTACTGGTTATTACACATCTCATTAAGTTTTGAAATTTATTCAAACAGGTTTTATAACCAGCTTACAAAAGGAAGAATATAATCACATCCATTCTCTTTTCCTCTCTCACTTCCTTTCTCAAAGTGCCTGGCACACGCAGATGCTCAGTAAATTTGGTTGTGGCTGAAATCAGTTCCAACTGATTTTATTTACACAAGGATCCAGCATGTGTGTGCATACACACACACACACACACACATAACATTTGTCTCTTTTAGTGACACTGTTCACTGTGGAGAGATCACTTCTCATGGCTCTGTCCATTTTACTGTCCCTTAGTAATAGCAGTATTCTCTAGTGTCTCGTTAGTACAGATAATTTCTCCACATATGTATAAACATCCTGTCTTTCTCCAATTCTGTACTCTAGTCAAGGCTTACAAATTGTAGTGAGAGGGTGAAAGTGGGTAAGAATTGTGTCTCAGTTTACACAGTCTTGTTATTAGATCATTGAAAAGAACTTTTAAAATAGCCACACAATGAAGCAGAAAAGTCAGCAAGTAGTTAAGTCTCCAGTCTCACTGTCAAATTGGGAAGCAGGGAGGAAGATGCCTCCTACTCATGTACCCCCCAAAATGGCCAAGGAAAGCTGGTCAAATCTACAACAAATGAAGAGTTCAGCAGTAAAGGTGGCAGGTTTAGCTGTAATAGTGCTGATGGAGAAGCTCATTTAAATTAATTTGAAATTAAAATTTAATGAGAAGAAAATTTAAATTGGGCAGAAGATGGAGGCTGGGTTGAACATTAAGAGCTGCCTATCACTTGCCACTGAATGGCCCCTTTTAGCCAGAGAGGATCAGAAAACAGGCTGTTTTATGAGTTCAGTGGGATTTCCTACCTCTGCAGCACTGGAATAGTGAACCGCAAAAGACTCCGGAATATACTTTAAAAGTCAATGAAGATACTGGGATGTTCTTGCTCAGCTCAAGATCTTGTTTCCTCCTCCAACCTACCATGTACCTCCCCCTTGTTGAGACTGGAGAGTGACATCAGAATCAAAGCTGGTGATATCACAGTCTCTATGGCAACAGTGGGGAGGCTGCCAGGGATTGACTGGTGAGGACCTAGGGAAGGGTGATGTTATACTCCAAGGCTTTGATGCTTAGTTTGGAAGGACTGAGTTTGACTTCTCCCTATTCATTTTCTTCTTTACGTGTTTAATTTAGGTAGGTGATATGGATGGGAGAGATTTTGCCAATGGACTCCACTTAAAACAACAGAGTGGTTATTGCACATTAGCAAATCCAGATGGGAGCAGAGAATTAGAATGAGAAGTGAGAAGTGAGTGCTTTTTTTTTTTTTAATGCAAAGTCAATGGAATCACTTCATTGTTGTGGGATCCGTTTTGGATTCTTGTAAGCATCTTTATTGTGTAAAAATTATTTTGGGTTATTTTGCTTAAAGTGACCATCTCTGGATTATAATGCATTTTAGATGGCCAGAGACAAAGCAGCAATCTCCCCTGTGCAGTGTCACCAATGGAAGAACTGTACTGGGTAAATCAGATGAAAAGGCGTTTGGTTGACAATTTCTAGCCTTGAGCTTATTTTATATTAGTACAATCTCCTCAGAAATATCTTAGATACACTAATTCAGGACTGATAGTTTCCACAGAGCTAAAAGAACCTCTGATCAAGGTCACATGATTAAGATAGTCACTGAATTTGACTGTGACTGGCTTATTAAAGGCTTCCTGCTACAGGTTGTTTATTGATGGTCTTTTAAATGTCAGTTCTCAATTTCTTAATCTTTCAAATAATTTGTGCTTGTTGCCCTCTTGAGATCCCTTCTGGCTTGAACATTCTGTGATTTTGACATTTTAGAGGTTTTTTTTTTTTTTTTTGAAGAGAACTGCATGTATAGACATATAGCACTTTGATTTTTTTTTTTTAAAAGATTTATTTATTTATTCATACAGAACTGGGGTACAGGCCAGAGGCTCAGGGACGGTGAGAGGCTTCACCAGAGACAGAGTGGGGAGCAGAACAGGCAGATTGACGAAGTACACTGCTGAGGGGAGCAGCGGGCGGGTCAGGAGAGGTCTGGCTCGCCATGTGGTCTCCTCCGGGGCAGGCGGCAGGCGGGAATCGAACTCATGCGGAAGTGGCTTCAGATTCTCAGTGCTGTGCTTTAACCCGCTGCGCCACCAGGGAGGGCCAGCACTTTGATTTTTAACACCTGTTATGTCATCTGATCCTCACAATAACCTTTGAGGTAACAAGGCAGGTATTAATTTCCCTCTTAAACAGGTATAGAAGCTTGCCCAGGTCAAAACTAGTAACTGGTAGAAATAGGAATTGGGATCTAACATGTTGTTTTTAGTTAATGCTGGAGGTGTAAAGTAACATAATCGACAATGTTACACATTCAGCAATTACACATTACTGATGAAATTAGGTCTTGGGGTCAATTTATCAGAACTAGAAAGTAGGTTTATGTTCCTATCTACCTCAGATTCAAGCATCAGCACATTTTAAGTGCAGTGAGCATAGGATGAGGTAAAAAAAATATGACAGCGTGGTATTTTTAAGCTTCATTAAGTTTCTTTTCACTTCCAATTCCGTTAAGTAGGTGAGTCTGCAGTAAACGCTGGAGTGAAGTGGAGGGGGAACAAGCAATCTTACAAGTCTAACAATAACAGGCAGCCTCTACTCATGACAGGTCTTTTGTCCATCCCAACAACTCACACCTCTTTCTTCCTGAAAACAAAGGACTTCAATAAATTAAGTCTATAAAGAGCTCCCCCAAATCAGTTTGTTTTCTCATAAGCCCCGTGTGGCTGTTTTGGGACAGGTTGCTAGTTGCTGTTATCCACTCAGGGGTCTTGAGGAGCTAGGCAAAATAAAGTAGTTAAAAACAAAAGTGTGGCCACCCTGGTAGCAAAGTGGGTTAAAGCACAGCACTAAGAAACTAAAGCCACTTCAGCATGAGTTCGATCCCCACCCCAGAGGTGACCCACATTGGAGTGGCAGACCTCTCCTGACCCACCCGCTGCTCCCCTCAGCAGTGTACTTCATCAGTCTGCCTGTTCTGCTCCCCACTCTGTCTCTGGTGAGTCCTCTCACCCCTGCACCTCTGGCCTGTACCCAGTTCTGTATGCATCAATCAATCTTTAAAAAAACAAACAAACACGCAAGTATTAAGTCTAATCATTGCGGAATCTCCTCAGGCTCTACACACCTCTTTCGAGAACAACGTAGATTCTCAAAGGGGTACAAAGTTAGAAATAACCAAAGAAAAACATTGTCCTACAGAGACCCACTTAGCATATCTTTCTAGAAAAAATGTGTAAATGGCATTCGTGCCACTAAAATGTGGATACTAGATGTCATTCACCGCTGGAAGCACACTCAAACACGCTCCTGTTCTGTGTCCCTAGGTTAGCATGTCGGGTGGTGGTGGTGCTCTGACCAGTCCATGACAGCAGATGGAGTGATGGCCTCCTGGGACTGGGTGTCAGGGGTCACCTACGAACAGAGAGAGGCTTGAGCTGAACGCGCCTGGAAAATAGAGAGCAAAGCCCTGGACACAATGTGTTCTCCGGCTCAAGGCGCACGTATTTTTCCCGGCACGTTCTCATTTCTATTGCTATTTCCGTCCCTCCCGCTTTCCTCCGCCCCACTCCTTTTGAACACCCTTTCTCCCCGGGGCGCTCCGCGAGCGCAGAGGCTACACCCCCTCTTCTTCCCGGCTCGCTAAGGATTTTCAGGAAACTGAGCTGAGAGTCAGGAAAGCTGAGCTCCTTCAGCTCGGGCTCTGCCTTTCCGTGTGCCCTTGAGTCAGTCACAGCTGGGTTTCAGGTTCCTCGGCGCTAAAATCAGCTTTGTGGTACATTCGAGAGGAATTTTTATTTCCTTTCTTCTTTTTCCGCTTCATGGCCTGTCCCTTCCAGCCCCAAGGCCTTCCCCAACAACCTTCCTTTTTTTTTATATATATAACAGTTTATTTTTACATCATTTTGTACTTTTTTTTTTCCCATCTCAATTGTATTCCCCGCGGGTTTCCCATCACCAAGTCACCCGTGTCCCCAGCACCTTCCCATTCCCACCCGCTCTTTTTAATCCGTGTGAGCGCCTGCGCGAACGGGCGGGGAAGATCAATTTTGACCCAACCTAGCAGCCGTAGTTGGCCCAGGGGCCGGTGGTGGGGAATTGTGGGAGAAGATGGCGGCCGCCGTTCATCCCCGGGTTGTCCGAGCCCTGCCAATGTCACGTAAGTGTCACCCGAGCGGTGGCCCCCGATCGGGATTTTGGGGCTGGGATCTAAAGTTTTGACTGTATCTGTCACGCCAGCTCTCCCGGCTTCCTTGTTTTTTTTTTTTTTTCAGGTCTGGAGCAGTCCCTAGAGTTTTCCCTTTCTCGGTCCCCGAATCGCTTGTTAATTGTACACTCGGGGAAAGGATCTGATCCCCGAGGGCTTGAGCAATGGAAAGAGAAGGGGAGAAAGTGGGGAACTTGTAATGGATTAGGAGAATCAGAGGAGTTTTGCTACGGTTGTAAGGGTTTGGAGTTCTGAGGAATATTTGTGTGGGTGGCGGGAGAGGGGGAGGAATAGGAAAGTGGAGAGAAGATTCTTCTTGTATTGACTTTATGGTCGTGTTCTAACCCTTAGTCGTTCTCAACTTCAGGTTCTCCGGGTCACAGTACAAATGATAAAACCACAATATCAGGGGATTTCAGAGAATACTAAATTAAGTTCTTATAAAACCACCTTTTAAATCAAAGGTATCTACACAGATACGGAGTGTTTTAAGTCCAGGTGCTGCGGTCTGAGACACGAGTGATGCTCAGAGGGAGAAGAAACAGGACATGGTAGAAAGGAAAAGGATGAGAGGAAAGAAGACAGTAGAATTTGTCTAAGTATCGCTCATTTTCTGTTCTGATTGAGTCCGTTGTCACCTTCCTCTAAGCGAAAACATACATGGCTCTCCCACTCACAAAATCGGGGCTACGATTATATTTCGTCATCATTTTTTCATTTTTTTTTTTTACAAACACACCCCATGAATCAACTTCCAAAAATTGTGTTTTTGGCATTACAGAATGTCACTTGCTGTCAAAATTAGCTGCGGATCAGAATCATACTTAGGAGACTTATAAAATATAGAAATGGACTTATTTTACAGCTGTGGAATTAAAACTTTTGAATTGGCCTCTTGCACCTTCAGTTTTACAAAGTTCCACGAGTAGTTTTGATGTTCAGCTTCTGGTGAGAACCAAGGGTCACTGTTTTATTTTCCATCTTAGAGTTCTTACATACCACTAGGAAGGTGCTTGGTGTACATCACTTATAGTGGATGTTCTTATAGCTATCATTTCTTTGCAGAGAGACTTGCTGGGCTTTGTTAAACTTAATTGGTGTCATAATATATAGACTGAACGACAACTGCTAGCTATTGATGCCTGTACACTCACATAAATACTATACCTTAGTTTTTTTAGATTTATTTATTTATGCATACAAGAACTGGAGTACAGCCTGAGGTGTGTGTGTGTGTGAGAGAGAGAGAGAGAGACAGACAGACAGACAGACAGAGAGACAGAGAGAGAATATTCACCATAGTGGGGAGCAGAACAGGCAGAGAGACTGAATATACTGCTAAGGGGAGCAGCAGGCGAGACAGCAGGCTGCGCCATGTGGGTCATCACCTCCCTGTCTGGGGATTGAACTTGTGCTGCAGTGGCTGCAGATAGCTTCATAGTGCTGCGCCTTAAGCCCTTGCATAACCAGTGAGGCCCCAGTACTGTACCTTATGAAGAAATAGAAGATCCTGCTATGTTGTCCTGTCACTTTAGCCCCATTTTCTTTACCCCTTTATACCACATCTCATCAGAAGAGTTATTTCTACTCCTCTAACCACTTCTGGCCTCACATTCTCTCTTCTGTTTGCTCGTGTCAGGTTAGTCCCACTGCTGCAGTGAAACCCACTCTTGTTAAGACCCTTTCAAACCAGCGTTTTCCAGATCCTGTAATCTCATCTATTTTACTTTTCAGCAGTGTTTCATAGGGTTAACTAACCTCTCCTCAAAACATTTTATTTCGCTTCTGGATGCCGTTTTATTTTTCCCCTTTTACTTTATTGGGCTGCTTTTCATCATCTTTGCTGCCTTTTAGGCTAGTCATGAGACTTTCCTGAGTCTAAGTTTCCTCATCTGTAAAGTGGCAGTAAAAAGTAGCAATAAAAAGATAGTACCTATTAAGTACTTAGAATAACGCTGAACGCTTGTAAGTTTAGCTGTTATGTCATTATGTGTCTGAACTGTTATACTTGTTTTTAATCTCTGGTTTCAGTCACTAGACTTTTTACCAATTCTGTGGTTTTGAGTAGGGAAAGACTGACTGTTGGGCAGAGTGCCCCTGGAAATTCATGCCCAGAAAACGAACACAGATCTTCGCTTCCTTTTCTTCATTCCTTCCTTCTGCCCTCCCATCTGTCTTCCTTTCTTCTTTTCTTCCATATCAGCTTTCCTTTTCTTCATAGATTTTGTAATGTAATTCTTATTTGTTTCTTTCAGCTTCTCCCCAATTTATACTAAGGTCCAGAGTTTGCTGATTGGAGCTAAAGTTCTTCAGTACTTTAAACCGTTTAGTGGTTTCTATTACATGAAAGTTAGGTAATTTGTTCTAAAACTCAGCTTTGGTAAGTTTCAAGGGACTTGAAAGGTGGAGTATATCTGAAGGATTTTTACATTCCTGCCACATGAAGAATAGTTGATGGAGGTTAGCCTGGAGAAGAGAATACTTAGTGGGGATATAATTGGTACTCTTAAATGTAAAGAGATTAGATTTGGTCTTCATCATCACATGGGCGTAAAAGCTACCGAGAAGCAGTTGTTGAGCTTTCACGTGGTAGAAGCTCCTAATAAATGGCTCTGACATGACTCCAATAGTGGCCTGCTCTACGAAGTCGTGATTTCCTCAGCCTTGCAGATATTCAGGCTAATGCCAAGTGGTCTGTTTGCCCATGTACTATAGAGGAGATGTTAAGCACTGTGCAACTTAACTTTCCCAAGTTAATGGGAAAGAAATTTGGGAGGTTTAACTTATTAACCTATCTAAAAGCCAAAAATTCTTTTTTTCAAGCATACCACTTTTTATCTTCACTTTTGATGATTTCTGGCACTTTTAAAAAATAACCTTCCCTATTAACAGGTCCTTTGTTTCTAACTCATCATCTGTATTTTTCATTATCATAGCTTGTCCCATATAAGTCTTTGCTGTTCCCTGCATGGGGCCTGTTCATTCCCACTCTGTTGTTACATGTTTTGTTTCATGTGGAAATGTATTCTTTCATTATTTGTCTTTAAATACAGTCTCAAAGCACCATCTCCAGGAATCTTTCTTGATGATTATTTTACTGCTCCCTGACTTGCATTCTCTTGGCTTCTCTCACCATGGAAGTTTATAAACTCTTAATTTGGAGCTGCTTAATATTTATTTGTCTTTTTAAATGAGATTTCTCTTCCTAAATTAATTATATCTTACAAGGGAGGGAGTTTACTTTCTAGTTTTTATGTTTTCGCCCATCTTCTCTGGATCCTTTGTTGTAACAGTTTGTGTTTATTATTGCTGTTGGCACTTAATAAATGATGAGTTGCTACCAGATAGTGTTAAAAATTTCAGGAAAAGCAGCTGTTTGTATTTGTGTCACTTCTATATTGACATTGCCCTTCTGTACCCCCGGGGGTTTTGTTTCAGGTTCTTCTATTGCTGCTCTCAATGCATTGGTGTGCCATGGCCCTGCCCAGCGCCAGATCCACCATGCCGTCATGCCTCACGGGAAAGGGGGGCGTTCCTCGGTCAGTGGGGTTGTGGCCACTGTGTTTGGAGCAACAGGCTTCCTGGGCCGATACGTAGTCAACCACCTTGGTAAGTAAAGGTCCTTGTATTCAAAATACTCTGGTGCTATTTCATAGGGTTGCTTAATGAGAAGTGCTGAGCTGTGTCTCCTTTCATTTAACAATATAATGTGTTACTCCTCTTTTGGGTTTCTATAATTTTGATCTGCACTCCCAGACTTTCTGTATATGATATTTGGGAATGGACGACTCTGAAAACCTAGTGTGACAAAATACGCTTATTGTCAAAGTATTGATTGTACTAGAATTTAAATATTGTTTAAATCAGTGCCATTTAGGTATTATGTTGGATTGACCCCTATTTCAATCTCTTCATTTTTTAGGTCGGATGGGCTCACAGGTTATCATACCCTATCGGTGTGAACCATATGACGTCATGCACCTTCGCCCTATGGGTGACTTGGGCCAAATCATCTTTCTGGTAAGAGTCCGAGTGACTGATTATTGGAACTGACAAATATAAGTGGCCAATGTCATTTTTAGGAGGAAGGAGCAGTGTGATAAAGCAGCAGTTTGGTACCAGAATGGACTGAGCCTGTCTGTGGGGCATTCTGGTAGACTTTGTACTATTAGTGGGCAAACTTTCTGTATATGGCCAGATAAAAAATACTTTAGGCTTTGCAGTTCACAGACTACTTTGTCCTAATTACTCCACTCTGTCCTTATGGCTGGAAAGCAACGACAGGTAGTACGTATGGAGGAGAATGTGTTCAGTAAAACTACAGGTAGACAGCTGGCTGGATTTGCTGATGGGTCGTAATTTGCCAGTCTCTGTTCTAGATGTCTGCTGTCCACTACCCTAAGCATGTGAGTCTCTTGAAATGTGGCTGAGTGGGGGTGTGCTATGAGTATAAAATAGCCAGCAGGTTTCAAGCATTAGTTAGGAAGAAAATAATATATAATGTATCATCAATATTTGTTTTATATTGACTACAGATTGAAATGACATTGTGTTATATTGGCAGAAGAAAGCTTATTATTAAAACGAATTCCTTTTTTTTTTTTTTAGGTCTTCTAATTGTAGCTAGTAGAAAATTCAGAATTACATGACTCATTTCTATTAGCCAGTATTTCTGTGGACAGAGAAAATCACAAGTAGCCAGTTTTATAACTTGTTTTTCTTGGCATTAACTTAGAAAAGTCCTTCCTGATATTCCCTGTTGCTTAATTTGAAAGTTCTTCCTTTAGAACTGTAATTGCCAGGGGGTACATTTGGGGGCTTGAGGTGACGGATAACCTTTAAGGATGGGTTAAAGTTCTGCGGACTCTCTCCTGGTCGTGACAGCTACTGGAGGCCATACTTGTTTATGAGATTAACGTCAGGAGTGCCAGGTGCCCTATGAAGCACAGCACAGGGCCTTTCCAGGGAGCCTGGGTGACCCCAGCAAGCAGCACCCTGGCGCTCATCTTCCCTGCTTATGTCCTGGGTACATCAGTTTCCGCACTGCACACCTTCCCCCTTTAAGAAATGGTAAACACCTCTGCTGTCAGATCCGTATAGAAATTTTGACTTTTTTTGAGCAGTGTTTTCATTGATACTTTCCCGAATATTCACAAACTAAGTATATGATATAATAGTTATATTGGAAATTCCTGATTCTAAGGAGCTGTTCATTTCCAAAATTTGATTCTCCAATACCGTCTTGGCATTACACTTAAAGGAGCCTACCTTTTTTCCTGGTTCTTTGTGACTAAAGTTGATATCACCTTATCGGTCTTTAAAAGTAATGTCTTTCATGAGTGAAAGTTGAAAACTCACTAGCTTGCAGATGGGTAGTCGTGGGAACTGAACCATAAGCCAGGGACTCAGGGGGCAGGTGTTTGCGGAGTATCCGCCGTGTCCCGGCTTTCGGCTCTGCTCTGAGCACGTCTTGGTGAGCCAGACTGCAGGAGCTCAGAGTCTTAACAGGGTACAGACACTAGTCATGCGCCTTAGCTGTGGTGGTGTTTAGGAAGGGGCAAGTCCAGGGAAGGTGTAACAGCGGTGGACGCAGCCTTCGTTTTACTACTGCTGTTTACTTTTGAGAAGGAAGGCCCACCGCCGGTGTGGGGCTTTGAGCCTTCTGACTGAATCAGTTTGACACTGCTGTCTCCTCTCCCAGCCTGAGTGTGCCCTGTGGCCATTATCCCTGGGAGTCTGATTTCCTCTTGATTCTTCCTCTCCAGGCCTCAGCCAGACTCTTCTACTCTGTGGCTCTTCCTCTTCCACCCTTGATATGTTTTCTGCAAAACTTTTATACAGAGTTGCCAATTTTTGGTTGACTTTGTCATTTTTTTGGGCTGCAGGTCTTACTCATAGCCCTGAAGTAGGTTATAGCTTCAGATTTTGCATGAAGCTTAGAGAGATCACCTGTACACAGTAAATGCCAGATAGGAATTTGTGCTTTGCCCTGCTCCAAAGCTGCTCTTCTCTACTTTCTCTTGTACTGCCTCTCCATCATCAGTTGCTAACTAGTTCTTCATTTTTAACTTGGAAAGCCCTGTACCTTTGGCCAGGATTATTTAATCCCAGTCACTATTTTGGACAGGTGATACCTACCTGACTTAAGTCCTGAGCAACTGCTCAGAAATAGAATTCCACACAGAAATCGCCATGCCTCGCCCTGAGGTTTCTGCAGGTCGCTTCTTTTGCAGTATTGTTTTCATGTCTTTAAGTAGAAATGATGACTAGATCTGGGATTTCAATGAAGGAAGAGTTAAAAAGAAACACGAAAGTAGTCAGGAATGCTATGAAGTCAACTTCATATTAGCCTTTAAGAAATACTCCTTTGATCACCGGTCTTTAACTAGCTCCTGCTAAATATTCGGAGTACATTTACCTCCTTGGTTCTCTGGGTATGTTTCAGGAAAGGACTTGGGCTCTTTTACTAAACCATATGGATCAGTGGGGTGGGCAGAAATCGATGCAGCCTGTTCTGTCATTTGACTGCCTGCATAAATGTACTTTGATTTGCATCCAGAGAGTGAGAAAATCAGCAGGGAGTTGGAGACCTCAGAATCATTTCTGTTGTGATGAATGGAGCCTGCATGAATCGGCATTGTGTCGTGGCTACAGCAGCTCTCCCATCCACAGCTTATGGGGCGAGGGGCTGTACAGAAGTGTCCGATGCCAGGGTGCGCCTGTGGTTTACGTGATTTGTTCCTGCTGTTTTAGGAGTGGGACGCGAGAAATAAGGATTCCATCCGGAGGGCTGTGGAGCACAGCAACGTGGTCATCAACCTAGTTGGGCGAGAATGGGAAACCAGGTATGTGTCTGGCCCCTTTCTTAGCCTGCACTGCCCGTGGGTTCAGGGGCAGGCTTGGGGTAGCTCCTTCGTGCCCGGCATTGTACTTGTGGCATTTTCCGGGAGGCCTTCCATAAGCAGTGGTTGAACTGCCATTACCGTACCAAGGAGCTCTGAGGAATTAGTGTGCAGTGAGTGCGGTGTAAGTGAGCAGTGTTGTGTGTCGCCAACACGCAGCCAGCAGGGATGGTCACCAGCTTGATGCAAGGGCCAGTGAGGACTAGCACCTACATCTGGCCAGGGAGAAGCTTAGGGTCTGCCTGACCCACTGTTCAACAAGCTGCACAGTAGTTTTTCTTTGTAGACAGTGTCTCTCTGTTCACACTGGCACTCTCAGATGACAGGAGTGCTGGCTGACAGCTCTTCTTAGCTGTAGTCTGGGTCATTTACCCACAAACAGTGTTTGGATCGTGTATTTCCACAACCTTTGTTCACACTTCTCTTTTATTTTTCCCAGCATTTATGAAAGTTTGACTTAGATTTGTCTGTCTCATCACATAATTTTAAGTTCTTTGATGACTTGGAGGGTCTTAGTCAACTTTATTTCCCCTGTAGTCATGAACACAGCGCCTTATATGGTGTGAGCACTTAATGTGGACTCAGTTGGTCACAGTTCTTTTTCTTCCCTGAGGGGAACAAAAACCCAGGGAGGGGTGAGAAGAGGGTCTCCCAGTCCCAGCACTCCCTTCCTGCCCACCAACCAGTGCAGCCACATTCTTTTTAAGGGCTGCAACCCTGGGACGCCTTGAGGATACAGAATGTTGTCTGTGCTGTTCAGAAGCTATTACATACTGACAGCAGGCCAGTGAAAGAAAATGCAATAAAAAAAAAATACACAAATTTTGACTGGGTTAAAAACTTGCTGTTTGATGTTTATCATACATTTTAACAATATATGAGAACCAGTCTATCACAGAGAACTTTGAAATCCCGAGTCATGTGTTCACTAATCTCTGTTTACTTTTTCTTCCAGAAACTTTGATTTTGAAGATGTTTATGTCAAGATTCCCCAGGCAATTGCTCAAGTGTCCAAGGAAGCCGGGATTGAAAAATTCATTCATGTTTCACACCTGAATGCTGATATTAAGAGCTCTTCTAGATACCTGAGAAACAAGGTAATAGCAAGTTGATTGGGGAGTGGTTCGCAGAGCTGACTTTCTGGCCCCTTTGAAGCCTGAGTTGAGAAGATTTCTTATTGACATGTCCAGATTTCAAAGATTCAGAGGGGGCATGTGTGTGACACACACACACACACACACACACACACACACACACACACACACACACACACACACACACACACACACATATACTGGTTGTTGGCAAACTGGTCAGTGATAGTTGAGAGCCAGTGTTCAGGGCCAGAGCCCAGAGTGTAGGTGATGAAGACTGAACAGAGCGGAGGCCCTGGGGACAGCAGGGCAGGAGGCAATTTTTAAAGTGGTTTGGTAAGACGATGTGAGGGGGCAGGATTTGAGGGGGCAAGTGGTGGTGGATTTTTTTTCTCTGAAGGTGGAAGCTCTTGGCGTTTTTTAGTACTGGCAGGAAGGGGGTAGTAGAGAGAGCGAGACTGACATGGGAGAGAGTGGGGCAGGCAGGCTCCTCAGAAGGAAGTGGCCAGAGCAAGGGAGAGCGGCAGATGAGAAGGGAAGAGGACATCACCAGAGAAGCCAGCACCCAGGGAGGCCCAGGTCGCCTTGATGTCAGGGGAAGGGAGTGGGGGTGGAAAGAAAGATGGAATTAGGGTCCCTTGTCTCTGTGGGGCAAGAGGCTCTGTGTAGGTGTGAGTGGAGGCAGTGCAGGGAGCTGCTCAGCAGTTGAGTTGGGGGGGGCGAGCGCCCAGCCCACCCTCCGCTGGCTGTGCCCTGCGGCCGCATCCTCAGCCGTGGCCTCCAGCACACCCGCTGCTAGACAGCACGAAACCAGAGACTGACAGACGGAAGCACGGAGGCTAGGGAAGCCTACTCTGGTTTTTCTTTTTCTTCTTTTTCAACTTCCCTGGAATAAAAATGGGAAGAAACCCAGTAGCTAGAAGAGAAAGGACGTGTGTGTGTGGTGTGTGTGTGTGTGTGTGTGTGTGTGTGTGTGTGTGTGTGGGGTGTGGCTGAGTTTTATGAATACAGTTCCCTTCGTCTGGAGGAAGAGTGGGTCCCTGAAGTATAGGCAGTGTCCCGACCGTGGAGAGAATGCAGGCGTTTTCACCCGTGTCAGTTCAGTTTGTTGGTTGTTTATTTTAGGCTGTTGGAGAGAAAGAGGTGAGAGATGCCTTTCCAGAAGCCATCATCATAAAACCATCGGACATCTTTGGAAGAGAGGACCGATTCCTCAATTATTTTGCAAGTATGTCTTTCTTACTAGCAGAGAGAAGATGCTGAATTTGAGATTCAGCGCAAATTCGCAGTCTGACTTGGCGGATGAGCACGGTTTTCCTCCCCTCGGTTGTCTTTGCTTGTCAGCTTGTGCCTCGTGCTCTGCATTGCTCTGTGTCCCAGAAGCGCCTCAGATGGGGGTTGGGGGTGGGGGAGGATGTGGACTTGGGAGTAGGGCACCGGGGTTGTTTCGGCCCTGGCACGAACTGTGCTTAGCGTAGCTATATAGCTTTGGTTTATGGTAAGAGGCGAGCCATTGCTTTTTCTTTTTGCCCCAAGTAAGTGGAATGATGATCTGAGCATCTGCACTCACCGTGTTCTGCGCTCCGCTTTCTACCAGCAGCTTCCCCTGCAGCTCTGTGCCCTGGGGCTGGCGCCCGATCCCTGTGCCCCTCTGTTGCACGGGCTGCGTCTAGGGACTGGCCGCTCGTCGGGCAGGACGGCGCGGCGGGCAGGACGGCGCGGAGCACGGGCCTCGCCACAGCTTCGCCTTGTCCTGTGTCCTCACACATTGACCGTTTCACTTTCCCTGTTATTTGAACAGCAGTGGTCCTCCTTATACAATCATTAGCTTCCTCAGTGCCAGCCACTTTTATTATTTTCAGTGTGTTGAGTGGTTGTTGGGTCTCACCACCACTTAGGGCTTCTGAAACGAGCTCTCTCTCTTGGGCCAGATATCCGCTGGTTTGGTGGTGTGCCTCTCACCAACCTGGGCTTGAAGACAGAGAAGCAGCCCGTGTATGTAAGTACCCTGGATGAAGGGACTTCAGCTGAACTCAGATTTAGGTGATCTGTTTTCTGGTTTTATTCTAATACTCTAACTGTTATTTTCTTCTTTATCAACTTGTTTCATCTAGTTGCCTCACAGAAAATCTAAGGTACATGCATTCTCTGTGTCTTCACTAGTTCCTTCACTCACAGCAAATTTATTGGACCCTTCATGTGCTAATAAACACAACATTCCTTGTTACGGTGGAGATAGTGAGGTTAATTGCACAGACACATTCTCAACAGAGAAATTTCATGCGGGGTGGTAGGTGCTGCAGTACAGGAGATGGTAGGTGCTTGCATCCGGGGCTTGACAGGTTCAGACCTGAGGATCGGGACCGACGGGACCGACGCAAATGGCTAGAAGGCCATTGGGGAAGAGCGTTCCACGGGCGACAGGTCAGGAGCAGGACGGACTGTACTAGATTGATCCAGGGAGCACGACCGATTCTGTATTAGGTTGATTGATCCAGGGAGTGCGACCGATTCTGTATTAGGTAGATTGATCCAGGGAGCGCGACCGATTCTGTATTAGGTTGATTGATCCAGGG